CAGAATTGCGGAAGCAGTCTTTGTTCTATTTAAAGCATTCCAATAAGATTTCAACCACAGTATATGGCAACAGAACTGATCATAGGGGAAAATGTAATTAAAATACCTTTCTGCATTTTGCAGCCACAAAATCGCTGGCAAATCGTTGTAATCTGGCTTTGTTGAAGCAGAGGGCATGAGTCAATGCTCCAGGAAAGAGTTTCAGCTAAGTACTTTCCAAGTCAGTTACCTTGCTCAGAGCCAATGCCTTTGTATATTGTCTGTTATAGAAAGGTGATCCACAAGTGACTTTTCTTTCTGTCCTGTCCTTCCACTTTAGTGCTGGAGCGACTCAGTCTGCCTATTCAGGTGCAGCAGACAGAAAAGCTGAAGCTTCAGGTTGACAGAGATCCTGTTGCTGCTTTTTCACCCTTATGTTCTGTTTCAGCCTCTTAACAGCAGACTGTTTTTGTAGATTACAAATTAACTTTGATTGAGAACAGCAAGGAAATCCATCCAGCCTGAAGCAAGAAGAGCCTTCAGGCAGGTGTTGGTAGCTTTCTTTAGAAGGCCTCTCTGGATATGTAAAGACAGTTCATTAGAGCTGGTTTGTATATCATTGCTGCTATCTTGTTGATAACGTGTTTGTGTCCAATCTGTTTTTGTCTGACTCCAATTCTAACCAAAATTTAGACAGAAATATTAACCAGAGAGGGATTCTCATTCATTTTATCATCTTCTTCCAATTCCTTGCTTGCAAAGGTATTTCTTAGATTGCACCTTTGATAAAAAAATCTTCCACGATTGCTTTTGTTGGATTGAGTTCCATGTTCCTGAGATTAATTACTCTTTTTTTGGTGTGTGTGTGTGAGTACAGAAATTGAATGTTAAGACTAAAAGGAGCTCTTGCCTCTTTCTGATCAAAGAACTGAACACTCCCAGACCTCAGTGACCTTTTAGGAGATGCTTTGGGGACTCTAAAATCTTAGAAGAAGCAAAGGCTCAAGACCATGAACATTATTAACGTTAGATGCTGAGAAGGTCTTTGATCAAGTGGAGTGGAATTATTTGATAATAGTCTTCATACAATGGGAATGGGAATAACTTTTGGAGGTAAAGATTTCCTTCTCTGTATGCCCTATAGCAGATGTCAGGGCTAACGCAGACAAGAGAAAAGTTTTATTCTTTTCTGGAAATATTTATAACACGGGCATATTTCATCACAAAGCTAATGAACGGTGTATTAGCAGGAAGATTACAAAGGTTACCATCCCACTGAGATTGTACCTTGCTGTTACAAACGTAAATTGAAACGTTACCTTCCCGAAGAGATGTGAAAAAGATTTTGCTGTAGTGTTTGAGACAATAAATGCTGGGACAGAATGGTAATGGAGAAATGAATGTATCAAATTAAAACTTGGCAAAAGAGGAAAAAAAATACGTTCAGCCCCCTCCCCCCCACCCCAAATTCAAAAGACACACTCTCCAGATGTAAGGAAATGAATCATTAGAGAGTAAACCTGCATTATCCATGTATTGAATCCGAGGAATGAAGCAGGATTCATTCAGGACTGTTTTTTTCTTTGAGGATGGCAAAGAATAGTTGATTTATGTGAGAAATTTTAAGAGAAATCTTTCCCCTAGGACTTCATGGAGTCCCTTGTTTTAGGATAAAAATCAAACGCTCCAAACTTTTGGGTTGCTTTTCTTCTTGCTCCTTAGCATCACTGTAAGACAAAACTTCCAGAAGATTTTTCATAAACTCCTACATTCTACTGCCAGAAGTTCATCTTGACAATCAGCACAACCTTTTTGGCTGCTCATTTTAACATGCTAGCCTATTTTGCATTGCCTGATACCAACAAGGAAAAAAGCCCTATTTGAACTTTATCCTGTGACGTAATAGCTCTTTGTTTGTACTCCAAAACTTTATAGGCCTTCCTTGCTATTGTGCCTTATTGAAAACTCATGCCTTATTTGCTGTTCATTATTATCTTTTCAATATTTCTGTGTCTTAAGGTTCCTTGTATTATACATTTGTTTCTAACAATTTTTCTTCTGCAAAAAGTATGCTTTTGCGTTTTTAAACTGAATTGCAAAGTGTTATTATCTGTCAGTTTCTCTAATTCTCTGGGTCTCCGTCATGAGCTGTACCCCATCCAACAGAAATGTTTGCAGATTATATTAGTTAAGAGCCCATCGATATCAAATATCTGGCATGAATGGAGGATGCAAACAGTTTTAAAGACAGCAGAAAGTGGGTTTGAGGTTTCATCTACTTATGAAATAGTGAAAACTAATAAATGGATGTGGAAGACAGTCCACTCTAAATACATACAATGCCGTGCTGAAGTCACAGAGCTGCTATATTTTTAATGCACTTGCGAAGTTTCATCTGCAAATTTCATTAATATATTCCTGTAGATCCAGGATGGCTTCTCCTCAGGAGTCTCTACTTTCTGGATCATAAAGTTGTCTTCACTGTAATTTAGGAACCTCTGCGATGATGCATGTTCAGCTGTATTTGTTACTCAACAGATGTCTGGGTAGTTAAATTCCTCCATGAGCCTTTATCAGTACTTCTATTCTGGGATTCCCAACTGGTTCAAGATGTACCTCTCGTAGTCGGCAGCAGTACCATCGCTCAGAGATCAGCATGCACAGCACGGGCCACGCTTGTTCAGCACAGGTCTTGGGTGGCTGGTTGCCCTGATCGCTGCTAGTCTTACTGCTTGAGTTGGCCATGCAAGCCTAGACTCAATGTCTTGTTTGCTCCTGCCCAAAGGCCAGGCTATAGGGTAGCTGGGGCTCTGCCCCGCTTTCTCGAGATCATTCACTGCAGTAACTGTCACTGCTCTTCCTGTAGGGCTGCCGCCTGTGCTTGCTGCTCCTCCATAAATTCTGACAACACCTGCTGCTCTCGCAATTCCCTCATATATTACATCTACAACAGAAGCATGGAAACACACGCTGCTCACACTTCATTTGAACAGGCACCTTCCCAATGTAACACGCTGATTCTAACGCTGCCTCCTTGAGGGGTTTGGTTTCAATAAAACAGGCGTGATAATGAGTTAACAACACTGAAGTTGAACTTTTCTTCAGACCTACCCAGGGCTCCTCGGCTATCCCAGCTGCTCTTTCTGCACACTGGGTCAGCTCTTGCCTTGGAGAACCCCTCATGCCCACTGTGCCGCTGGTTGAAAAGAGACAGCAGCATGCATTCAGCCTTCTGCCAGTGGGATGAACATGTGATAGCAGTGTGGGAGAGTTTCAGGCACACGCTGCCAGGCTGCTCTATTCCCTTAGGCTACTTCTTTGCATTACATATTAAGGAGCTTTCCCTAGAGCTGGTCAAAGTGTAAAATAATAACCTGATTTGCAACCAGAAGAGTTGAATCTGGATCACTATGATTCAGGGAATCATAATATTAGATATTAATGAGTACTCAGCCCACCACTGGGTATCTGTGAAAATGCTCCCAAATCCTCAGAGTTTAAGGAATTTTAGGCTCAATGATATTCACCCAGAAATTTACATGTTGTCATTCTTCCATCTAGAAATATTTATCGTGCAGAGGCCAGAAAAAATCCCAGCTGTTTTTCGGCTTTCTGAGCAATCAGAAATGAATAAACATGGTCAAAATAAATGCTCAATTTTGAGTGAGCTGAAAAGCAATTGTTCTCCTTCTGCACTGACTGTGCCCCCATAAGTATTAAATTTACAGGTGTTGGAAACAGTTTGCAAAACATTTCTTCTGAAGAAAAGGATTATATTTCCCACCTCCCAGCAAAGGCATAGCTAAACTTAGCTGTAATTTCAACAAGTCTTATTCTGCACAGCAGCAACTGGTGAAGTTGCTCTTCTGGCACAGGAAGTTTTCACTGCATAATCGGCCCATTTTGCTTTGTCTGAAGCCAAAGCACTTCCCTCTCCTGCCGAACACAGGCAGGAAAGGAGAGAGGTGCAGGAGTATCATTTGAATTGCTCCATTTGCAAGAAGGAGCTTAAGACTTTGTGACCCTCTGCTAATTTTCCCACCCAAACGGTTAGATTATGGAGGCTCAACTGATAAAAGTCTGGAATCATTTCAGGACGCTACTCACCATTAAAAAAGAAGATAAAGTGCAACCAAAAATAATTGTTTCTTCCTTTTCAACAGCTGAATTGATCTCCTTTGTCTACACCCTTCACTATGGTTCTGACTTTTTCTGGCTAGCTAGGAAATATAAAGTCAAACACCTGTTTACCAGACACGGAGCTATGTATCTGCCATTGCTGATCCATCTGTGGAACATAAACATAACTTTCACCAGCTGCTTCTTTTAGCAAGGGCTGGTAATGGAAGCCATTATAGAGCATATCAACAACATACTTTTCTAATAATCATGGGCCAGAGCATTGCGAGGCGTAAGCTGGCAGAGCCTCAGTGGAGGTGATAGCGCTGCACCAATTCACACCACCAGAGGAATACACCCCAGCCTGTATCCTTCACATTCTTTACCACCCTCATTTTCCTGGTTTCTAGTTTGTTTCTGTTTTTCCATTATATTACACTAATGAGGCAACATGTTGTGGAATAATTCCTGGGCCAGGACCAAACAGTAATGGATAATTGCCTTGGGTACCATACAGCCTCAATATTAATGACTCTGGGAAAACCTCAGAAGATTCAGAGGTGTGATACTGCAAAGGCTTCAGCTGGATTTGGGCCAAATGCCCCATTCGTATAAACACGCTCACCTTTGTTGACTTCAGGAGAATTATGATGGCTTTTGTTTGTTGCAAACATGCTTTAGGTGATTCACAAGATCATGCCCAACCTCATCCATACTCTTCAGATTTCAGTTGAGCTTGAAATCTTGCAGTGCAAAGAGAAGACTCCTTTTTGTCTTGCATAATGAATGTTACAACTACAGTGTGTTACATCTATAATTAAATTGCTGATAAATCCCCTTATCTCTCACGCTACTCCAGGAAGCAGTAAATGAGGATGTGCTCCTGATGAGCATTGACATACCTCTTTCCCTGAGTCACATCAGTTAGGCAGGTCAAGATCTTGATGGTGACCCAAGACAACATTCATCCTCTGCTCAGGCAGCTCGTATTCCTCCCAGTGTAAAGCTCAGACAGGCCGTGGGACTTTCTAAATCTTAATTTTCAAGTCTGGACACAACCTAGGACTCAAAAAAGAAATTCCATTAGTACCTAAGGCTCTCAAATGCGATAAAGACATACACCTTGTGAGACTTCAAACTCAGGGAAATCCATCCTTTGAGTTCAGCCTAGAAACAGTTACCCGGAGGAAACCCATTAGAATTTGGTTTCCTTTTGATATTTTTGTACCTTACGCTGAATCCTAAACTGTGCTTTCCAGGACTTCTGCAATTGTTAAAATCAACACTCACCTCTAATATATTCCGACTTAAAGTGTGCAACCTTGTTTAAAATGCACTGCTAAAGCATATATTTTCATGTATCGTTATGTCTAAACGCATGATAACCAGGTTGAAAATCAAATTATCTCTGTTAAGGTGAATATTAGAATGTGACTACTGCCTGCTGTGCCTCGAATGAATCTTGTAAACACAATCAAATCTCTCTCTCCCTCTCACACACAGAGACACATGCACGTCCTTGCACAAGAAAAGAGATTCTTCACCTTCTGCCATCGTATTGTCACAGCAGCTCATGTTTATTGTGAATGACATCTTCAGCTACAACTCAGCATGAGCTCCAGCATGCTGGAGCTGAACATCCTACCAGGAAAATCAGCAGTGACATTAAAATTGTTTCATGAATAATGAAAAAATAAATATCACATTAACTGCAGGTACACAGAATGCTTTGTTTAACTAAAAGAGTTTGCAGAGGAATCCCAGGTCTCTGAGGGTAGATACTCTTTTATTAACTGCGGGTACAGAACTTATTTAGATGGAGCTGTTTTCATTATATTGCTAATTCTCTCAATTACACAAATGAGAGAACACGTGATCAGCACCATTAGTAGGGCACAGACTTCTCTTTCACAAAACTCTAAACTGCCAGAAAATCACAAAACAACAAACCCTCAGCACTTGCAGCTATCAGTCTCTCAGCGACTCCCATTCTGAGTACGGAGGTTTAAATATGTCTCCCAAGTCCAAATTTGTTCAACAACAGTTTTAATCATTTATGGGAGCAAAAAGGCTTCAGAGAATGTAATGCAATTATGTAAGTGTATAAAGCAAAAGAGAATTCAATTGTCTCGATGCCATACAAGGCGAGGTTATTACAGGATCCTAGCAAAAGATGCATAAAGCACGACTGCACTGGGTCCAGAGTTTCCCTGGCAGCATCAGTGTGTGTTCCTGCCAACTGTTAGAAGTTCAGAATCACTAATTTGAGGGAGAAGAAACAAGCTTCGTTTGAATTACGGGGTTACAGTGACCAGAGATTCATATAAAAGTTATTTGCAGTGCAAATGCTATATTTTGCCCTATTAAGGACAGAGCAAACGCATTTTTTTACATAGCATTAATGTGTCAGGCAGAAGTGAAATCTTACAGTGATTTCAGACTTTGGGTTAGGCTGAAACTTGGGATCTTAAAATGCAAGGGTTTCTACAGGAAGGCAAATAGAATTGGAAAACAGCCTCGCTACTGTCCCTTAAAACAAATAAAGAGAGCTGTTATTCCCCATTCTTTTCCAAATTTCATCCACATCCATAGCAAGAATGCTCAGAAATGTTCCAAAGTGCCAAGAAGCATGAAAATAATTCCAAACACATTGCCACTATCAGACTAACTATTGCTTATGGACTTATTAGCATGGAAATACTCTCAGAATAACCTTCTGAACAGCAATCTGAAATAATCAGCTTCATTAACAGTGCAGCAAGTAAATACGGGCTTAATATTAGCGATTCAAAAGACCCACCTTCTCTCTCAAGGAGTGTGAAGAGATTTGCTTTCTAGCTTTCACTGAGCCAGGCACAAAAATGGTGTCTTTTCCACAAGTCTTCCCCTTTTTATAGAGAGAAGTCACTTTATGATTTCTTTCTTGTGAGTTCAAGTTGCCTGCACTTCCTATTCATGCAGGAATGCTCATTTCCTGTCTAAAAACACATGCATTTATTCTTATTTGTTTAACAGCATTCTAAATAGCATAACAAAAAGACCAGTAAACAGGAATGTTACACCTTGTTTGTGCCTGCACGCAAAGCCTCTCCTCATTCTTTGCCTTTAAACATGACAGAAAATTAGGAATTTTTTTTTTTTTCTTTTTGACATGCATCAGTGCTCGCAGCAAAATAAAAAAGGACATATGCCTACAATATGTATCTCATCAGGCTCCAGCTATTGTCAGGTGGGCTTAGCCAGGTGCTTCAGAGCTCCTCCTTGCTACCAGCAAGGCCAAATGGTGAACTGAGGGTGGGTCACCTTATAGATCTGACACAGAGAGAGAGATGCACCTCACTATGTAGTCAAAAGAGTTAAAAGTAAGCGAAGGTAAGAGCGAGTAAAAGTCATGTATTACTGGGGTAGAATGTGTCAGTCAACAGCAATGCAAGCTGGGATTCTATCTATTATACAGGAAAGGTAAAAGTATTCTACTAGGTCACTTAGTTACTTCAACCAGATGGAATCCAAAATGTTCAGAAAATTAAAAATCCATTTATTCCTCCAAAGTTGCATTCCATCTGTTTTCAGACATTTATGGAATCTTTTTGCATACAGGATATGGCAATCACTGGTGCCTTGGAAATATTTCTTCCCCATGCAGCTCACAGAAAGCCTGGCTGGCTATAGACAGCATTGGAGCAAGCCTTTTTTTTCAGGTGCTTACTTCTCTTCAAAATATAGGAAACTTTACTTTTGTTTTAAATAGAAGAATCATAAAAGCCAGTGTATCATTGTCTGCAAAAATGCAGCAGGAACTTTTAATCTTAGAAAAAAAATAAAAAATAAAACCATGCTATTCCCTACTCTTTCCACCTTGAAAATTTTAACTTTCCTGCCAGTCTGTTTCTCATTTTCAGCTTGTGGAGACAATAAGAATGATTCAGATGCTATGAAGGAATGCAGCTTGGCATGTAGCGATCTCCGCCCTGAAGATAAAAGTGACAAAATTACCCCAGAAGTTATTAGCTCTAGGCTCCATCAATCATTTCTTAAGAAATATTTTATTTCATTCGACTACATATTGTGCCTAAACCTAACTGGGGTATGGTCCCCTTCCTCCTATCACTGTTCTCAGCATCTTCAGCTTCACCAGATGGAAGTGTATCATCTGGCACGCAGGCTGAATTTTCTGTGTATGACACAAACAACCACATTCTCTCTCCTTCCTCAGTACTTTCCTCTGCAGTCAGTGGCTCACCCAACAGGTCAGCATCACCGAGCCTTACTCTGGTTGATGCTAAGAATATTTTATCCCCTGATGAGGTTGACACATAATGTAAGTACAGGTTATGTCTCTACTCTCAGCTATGTTATAATTCCATTTTTCTTCTGATTATTCACATCTCAAGTTAAATCTCTCCCACATTCTCTGCTGGAAGGAGCCAGCTACACGCCACCAAGCTGAAAGACATCCAGCAGATAACACTGCCCCAAAACTTCTAATAGGACAAAAATGCACCAGGTTTCGTGGTCTTACAGAGTCCTCCAGTGCTACTTCAGCAGTCCTTGCACCCTAACCACTCTGTTGCTTCACCCAGATTGCCATAGAGCATGTGGCTCTGGGGATATACACATTTTCCATTACCAATGCCTGCATTTTATTCAGCTCCCCACATCATCTGGATAGCTGGCAGGTGATGGTCAGACAGAAATGAGAAAATGCTCACAAATCCCAAGCCAGCGCATCAAAAAGCAGAGAACTTGCTTCTAAGCATAAAACTGCATTTAAAAAACAGCTACAAAGAAGAAAATCAGAAATGGTGGGTCTTTGTTTCTGCCTTTGGATTTTATTCTGAATGTTGGGTCGTGTATTCAAATTTCTTTTCTGCAACTCCAAAGACAGGGAGAAAAATGGAAGTTAATACTCATACTTAGTCTCATGTTGCCCAAAAATGACACCTAAACGTGCACAAATGCAGTAAGAATACTGCTATACTTTTACTGAGAGCTGTTCCAGTGATACCAAGCCCTGCTCTAACAAGGCTGTATTTTGCATCACTCCAGATGTGAAATGCATGAGCTTTGACTTCGAGGTTGAGGAACACATGCTCACAGACCATATTCAGTCAGCAGCAGAACCAGAGACTAGATTTCCTGCTCTTCTGGACAAATGTCCTCTTTCAGCCACTGGGAAAGCTAACGCTGAGAAAGCTTGCTGCCCACAATACACAAAATGCAAGGGGAAATACAGCAAAACCAGAAAAAAAAAAGGACTGGTGCAAGACAGGCTGCTATTGAGCACACCCAGGATGTGCCCATCCATGGGGCAGGCATGCATCTCCCCAAATGTAACCTCCTCCCCACTCAAGCAAAACACCTATTTCTCAAAAGCTCAAACTAATTTAAGGTTTCCTTGGGTTCCACAGAGGGACTTGGCCCCACACCTCTTTATTAGCTGCAGTGCCTGCCCTGATTCTCTTTAGTTTCACCCACCCCCTGCTAAGTTTAGAAGAAAAGGCAACAGCTGTGGCTACTGACAGAACAAGGTTGGCAGCTGCAAAACTGAGATGCCACATTTCAGCATATAATTTTCTTTCCACAGTGTCTCTCCCTAACTTTCCTCTTTAAGAGGCACTTAAAATCCATGTGTCTGACTCAATTATTGTTATTGTAGCTACGGAACAGAATGTGATGCTGATGAGGGCCTACCTGTCTAGTTAGCTTCCCTTTCTGGATGCTTTCTTTCTTTGATTCATTATTGCTTGTGACACGTGTATTGTCTAAACTATGTTCAAGAACAAGTCTCTAATACATTCAATGGAAGAAGGTGAAAATCAGAAAACAGCATATCAGTTGCACGCATAAATTTATGTGCTAAGTTTAAGCATTCTATTGCTGAGAAATATCTTACCGACAAACCATGATTTTATTATACATTAAAAATAACAATACTTGCAGGAAGTTTAAGAATAAAATTTCTTTTGCTTTCTTTGATTAGGAGAGCACTGACACTGTATAAATGCTTTGTCTTCATGAACTTTAATCTAGAGATTCTGCATTCCTCCAGCATTCAGTACATTATCAAATCATATTCAAAGTACTATGAATTCATGCCCCAGAGGGCATGAACCCAAATTTAAAGTCATCATCATTCTGTATATTTTCTGCTCGGTTGAAGGTTTTATGATACAGGCTGAATGTCTTTTCAGGACAATCCTAAAAATAAGCTAATGCAGTGGGGACTGAATTTATTGGACGCGTACACTCACCTTCGGTTGATGTTCTCCCTAGGTCAGTTCTCATGTGATTGGCAAGGGATCGTGACAGCTTGTATCTTCCTATGAGAAACCTGTGTAGACACTGGTAATTAGAACTGCCACTCAGTCCTTCCTGACAACAGCTACTGCAGTGGCACTGGGCCTCTGAACTAGCAACTACCTCAGGAAAATCCTGTTTCCTGGTGTCTTCTCCTCCATAGGCACACACCTAATTGCATGTAAACATTCAGTAATTTACTACACCACAGAAAAACATTGGTACCTTCAAGCTGAAAATACAGCGGTTGATAAATGCCTAAGAACTGCAATTCCAAAGTGTCACCTGCAATGTAGTTCTCCCAACAGCCTTCCCTGACTGCTGCCTGAACTAAGGGTACTTCCTCAGTAATGGAGAAATTAAGAAGGGTCTCAGTCTACCTTTTAAGGAGCCTAACCCTTGGTCTAAATCAAGAGTGCTGAGGCTCATCAACCAGCTTGGTATTCAGGAAAAAAGCACACAAACACAACAGCACTGTGGTTTGAAAATATCAGTGCATTTTTCTTGGAGCATTTTCCCCCAGTCACAAGAACAGAAATGCTCAACCAGCTATACTTTTTACCCATTATTAATTTACTCACCAGCTGTTAATGATTGCAGCTGAGAAAAGGAAAGAAACTTGATGGAACAGGAACACGAATGTGAAACAACACTTTTGAGAGGCAAATATAAGGAAAAATGTTTGGAAACATCTTCAAATGAAAAGGATGCTGAAGTACTTCCTTATAGTACGACAGCTCTTTTCAAAGCCCAGAAAGCTGAGTATCTATGGAATTAAACTTGGATTCTATTCTCAGCTTTGCCACAGTTTTGAGGTATCATTTAGATACAGTTTCCTTGCCTGTGAAATGGGGCTAACAACAGAGCTCCAGTTTCCATGCAGGGTGCCCAGTTAAACAGCATCGCATTAAATAGCATCTTCATCCTGCGGTAGAGAAATAAAGAGGCAGAGTGAGGCGGTCAGGAACTTCTGAGATCCAAATGGCAGTGAAATCTAATCTCCAGACCATGGAAATCACTGGAAATTGACTTCAAAACACTGTTGATTTCAGTGGGTTTTGGATCAAGGCTTAGCAGAACAAACTTACCGCATGAAGACAAGTTTGTTTTCCAGAGCAATGTTTGACTTCTTGACAGGAGCTAGTGTGCTGAGCCAGACCGTACCTTGGGGGCAAACCTAAGCCAAAGGGTTGCACTTAGTCCCAGGAGCATCTTGTAGAAGAGCTCCCTCTCCATCCCCCCCTATAGCTTGTTCAGGATGACACAGGATTTTCTAGCTTACCCCCATAATAAAACAGAAAACATCTGGCAGCAGACCAGGCGTGCTGAGCCCTGAGATGCAAGGAAGCCAGGCACTGTGGGAAGGGGCAGTCACAGGGAGCTGCTTCCACTTCCCACCCTGCCAGCATCAAGCCTGCCAGAGATGGGAATTTTTGATACTCTGTTCAGAGAACTCAGTGTGCTGAAGCTGGAAGGCACTGCAACCATTGCAACGCTGAATTCATTTTTCCCAGTAACAGTTCAGCCCAAAAAGAGCACAGTACAGTGTATTAAGTATCTTGATAGAGTTTTATGCAACCACTCTTAAGAAACCAATCCAGAAATGGCAGTGCTGTATTTTTAGACGTTTAATTACGAGGGTACTCCCATATATGTGTTTCAGAATGAATCCAGTAGTGTAATTGTGCAACGGGTCAGAAATTACTGAGTGAATAATACCATTTCCTTTTTAGACTTCTATCATAGCACGGTGGCAGCGTAATTGTGTTGAATTTGGGTCCCAATGCACATGAGAGTAAGTGTGGAGCTTTGCCTGTGTTCATGGAGATTTCTCGTTGAAGTGCCCACCTACCACAAACACAGCACACCCTTCACTTCTGTCATTGCTAAGTTATACATTCACTGCATTCAAAACTCCCATCAAATTCAGCATTGAGCCAATGACACCATTTTCAGAGGGTGCAAAACCCAACCAAGCTCATTCACTGCAGCCCATGCCCCCTTCTCAGTTAGGGCAAGGGAGATCGGTGTAAAGGTTTATGTACTCACTGCATTGTAATTCATGTACTCAAAGTATTCACTGTTAATTTGAGGCAAAAGGCATTTTAGAAATGTTGCAGATGGCTCAAAACTTATCACTGTAATCCCAGGCAACACAGGTGTTAAGACTGCATCCGAAGGAAATCACAGCATCTTAAGCACTGAAGTAGACTTATACCAGCCAAATAATTAGAACCCTCCCCTTTCAGATAGCATGCAATATCACTGCACTTGAGAGCTCATGATATTCATAATATTCTGATTTAGAAGCAAATGATCTTTCCCTTATTTCTTTCCCCTACCACTCTTCCCTGCTGTGTAATAATCTCTATACAAGTTTTCCACACATGACCAGAACAGGTACCTTCTGAGATAAATAACCTTAACTTGTAAATGATTAGCAGAGGCTGCAAGAGGTCCAGGAGGCTCCTGGAATGCACTGATGATAACTTGCTGGTCCAGGTATTGGACAGACTGACCAGAGGTGAAGCGTTGCTGGACCTGCTGCTCACCAATGCAGATGAAATCAGCCTGGGCTGCAGTGACCACACCCTGGTTGAGTTCGTTATCTAAGGGATGTGGGCCTGGCGAAGAGTGGCGGCAGGATCCTGAACTTTGGAAGAGCGAACTTTGAGCTGTTCAATGGACTGTTGGCCAAGATTGCCTGGGATGCCTTCTTTAAAAACAAAGATGTTGAGTGGAGCTGGCTACTCTTCAAGGATGCCTTCCTGAGAGCACAAGAGCTCTCTGTCCCTCTGAATAAGATAGCTGGCAGAGGAGGTAGGAAGCCGGCGTGGCTTGGCAAGGACCTGCTGGGCGTGCTGAGGGTGAAGAAAGGTGTGTACAAGCTCTGGAAACAAGGCCGTGTCACCTGGGAAGAATACAGGGATGCCATCCGGACTTGCAGATGTGGGATCAGGAAAGCCACAGTGCAGGCAGAACTGAATTTGGCAAGGGACGTGAAAAACAATAGGAAGACTTTTTTCTACAAGTACACTGGCCAGAACAGACAGGTCAAAGCGAGCGTACCTCCTCTGGTAAATGGAAAAGGAGAACTGGCTTCAAGGGATGAAGAGAAGGCTGAGGTACTGAATGAGTTCTTTGCCTTGGTCTTCACTGGCAGCCAGGATTCCAGTACTTCTCACGTCCCTGAGCCCTGCATCCCTAAACCTCTAGGTCAAGACCGGGGTGGTAAACCCCTCCCCCACTATGAGGACAGAGCAGGTCCGAGACCACCTCATGAGACTGAATGTGTACAAGCCTATGGGGCCGGGTGGCATGCATCCCAGGGTTCTGAAGGAGCTGGCTGAGGTGGTTGCCGAGCAACTCTCCATCATATTTGAAAAGTTGTGGCTGTCAGGTGAGGTCCTGGATGACTGGAGGAAGGGTCACGTCACTCCCATTTACAAGAAAGGGAGCAAGGAGGACCCCAGGAACTACAAGCGGGTGAGTCCCACTTCTGTGCCTGGGAAGATCATGGAACAGATCATCCTGGATGACATGCTTGATCACATGAGGAAAGGGCGTGTGATCCAAGACAGCCAGCACGGCTTCACCAGGGGAAGCTCATGCTTAACCAAACTGGTGGCCTTCTAAGATGGAGTGACGGCATTGGTGGATAAGGGAAAGATGACCGATGTCATTTACCCGGACTTGAGCAAGGCCTTTGACATGGTCCCCCACCACATCCTTATCTCCAAATTGGAGGGATGTGGATTTGATGGGTGGACCAGTCGATGGATAAGAAACTGGTTGAAAGGCTGCAGACAGAGAGTAGTCATCAGAGTTTCTATGTCCTAGTGGAGGCCGGTAACAAACAGCGTCTCCGAGGGGTCTGTCTTGGGACCGGTGCTCTTTAACATCTTTATCAATGACATCGATGATGGAATTGAGTGCACCCTCAGCAAGTTTGCTGATGACACCAAGCTGAGTGGTGCGGTCGACACGGTTGAAGGACGGGATGCCATTCAGAGGGACCTCGAGAGGCTAGAAAGGTGGGCCTGGGTGAACCTGATGAAGTTCAACATGGCAAAGTGCAGAGTTTTGCACTTGGGCCGGAGGAATCCCAGGCATCCATACAGATGGAAGGAGCGGTCCTTGAGAGCAGCCCTGTGGAGAAGGACCTGGGGGTCTTGATGGATGAAAAGCTGAACATGAGCCAGCAATGTGCCCTTGCAGCTCGGAAAGCAAATGGTATCTTGGGCTCCATCAGAAGAGGGGTGGCCAGCAGGGACAGGGAGGTGATTGTCCCCCTCTACTCCGCTCTTGTGAGACCCCATCTGGAGTACTGTGCCCCCAGTACAAGAAAGACAGGGAGCTGTTGGAGAGGGTCCAGAGGAGGGCCATGAAGATGATCAGGGGACTGGAGCACCTCCCCTACGAGGACAGGCTGAGGGAGATGGGCTTCTTCAGCCTGGAGAAAAGGCTGTGGCGTGGCCTCACTGTAGCCTTTCAGTACCTAAAGGGAGCCTACAAACAGGAGGGGAATCAACTCTTTGAAAGGTTAGATAACAGCAGGACAAGGGGAAATGGGTTTAAGTTGAGGGAGGGGAGATTTAGGGAATGTCAAGGGGGAAGTTCTTTACTATGAGAGTGGTGAGGTGCTGGAACAGGCTGCCCAGAGAGGTTGTGGATGCCCCGTCCCTGGAGGTGTTCAAGGCCAGATTGGATGGGGCCCTGGACAGCCTGGTCTATATAAAAAGAGGAGGCTTGTGGCCCTGCATGTGGCAGGGGGGTTGGAGATTCATGATCCTTGAGGTCCCTTCCAACCCTGGCCATTCTGTGATTCTGTGTGTGAGTCGTGGAAACTTCCCTTGGAGAAATTTGTAAAGAAAAGTTCCTTTTCAAACTAGGTCTTGTCTGGCAACCTTTCAGCCACCACTTTGTCCCAGCTCCAACCTCTCCTACATCCTGCTGATGTGTTGAGGAACTATAGTAAGTGTGGACCCAACAGGTACCCAGAGTCCAAACATAACTACATTTGAGCCATCTTCGGTGCAGGTTTGATTCTAGAAATCTTACTTTGAGAAGTACCTTATTTCCTCTAGTGTGGTCACTTCTAGCTGGAGAAGGTAAAAATTGTTCTGAATGGCACACAGGGCAGCGCAGCTGAGACCTTGAAAATGCTCTTAGTTTACATAACATAGAAAGACAGCTAGAAAATGATTCTTGCTGAGTCTGACTAAAAATATGCTTGCAAGATCATTAATGGATCCTATTTCCTGTAACTGAAGGGCAATTTGATAAACCATCCATTGCCAGATAGTGCCACTAATTACAATGGGTTCTTAACAGAAATAAAAAATGATTTTCTTTTTCTGGAATAGCCATACATCCTGAAGGTACACTGCTGGCAAGCCCTCGAGTGTTTATATTACAAACCAAGCAATTTCAATAACCCTCAAATTCATTACATTCAGCTAGATGCTAAGGAGAGGTTCTCTTTCCCATTGGTTTCCAAGAAAACACCAAAATAGGGCCTCTTATTTTTCACAACAACCAATGTTGTTGCATGGTTTGCATGGTCAGGACCAAATTACAGTAGCAGGCTTTTAACAACTGCGGAAAAGACTATAAAACTTTCTGCCCCTTATTAACTACTGTGTGACTATTAGGTTTATGGGCAATGTTAACATTGCAGCATAGGAACAAAAACATTGTAAACAGTCTCCAAAATGTTGGGAAGCAATTTTCCCCAGGAGAGGCAGGGGGCCCTTCCAATACCTCTAAGGTATGGGAAGGGTCACACGACACACACGTAAAACAAGATTAAACTCTCTCTTGCTTTGTAATTAAACCCAATTGTAAACCTGGGCAAGTGCTAATTTTAAAACAGAGCTCCCTGCTCAGAGCTCCAAAATCTCTATTGAAAGTTCATGGAAAATGAAAGCTGCCTCTTTAAAAGGAATCAGCTTGCAGCTCCCCAGAACGGAGCCCCTGGGCAAGTGTTTCAAAATATGATTTTTATAAACAAATCTGACATAGCAAACTTAATGCAAACCCCTATGCATATAACATCACTTATGTGTGCAACTCGTTTAAATTATAGCTGTAGAGAGAAGGAAATAAAACTGGCATATTAACCTTTGGCACAACGGTACTCACATGCTCGCAATGTTCAGCAGCAGATGATATTACTGTGACTCCCACTAGTATTGTCATGTGAAGGGTCTGTCAGAATTCTTGTTCTAAACCTCTGCAGTCAGAGTTTATTAATTCAGCCACGAGCATCTGCTCCAGACCTACCTTGGCACGTACAGTTTGAAGAGCAAAATCTTTCTCAGTGCAACTTCCCTTTCCCAGTCAACACTGTATTTAAAGCCTCAGAAACACACACACACAAAAAAAGATAAAGCAAAAATTCATGAAATGTAGCATTTTCCCGTCACCATTGTATTTAAAATCATGGAACAAAAAAATAAATGAAAAGAGATATTCATGAAATATAGCATTCCACAGCTTGCCATAAGCTCACTGGATGTCTTGCTTTCCAGCTGTCCTTTTTAGAATAGCCAATTCCTCCTTCATACAGTGAACTCCTTCCAGTAGTTCAAAAGGACAAGGTACACTAACAAGCAAGATATGCTTAGATAGGTTCAGACATATTTTTAAAGTGGCTGCATCACAGAATACCCATGCACTCCCCTCCCCATTCTCAACAACAGAGAGGCTGAATGACATATTTTTAATAGGCCAGACCTGCAAGTTTTAATTGCACCCACGTTTTTAAGGTGAAAGGGACTTAAACTCCAAAGCATTTGGAGCACTTTTGAAAACTGGCCTTCATGCTATTACAACACAGAGCAAGTAATACCTACACATCTTTAAAACGAGCCATAAAGCTATCACATAGCTTTATAACTTTATAATAAACAACTTGCAAATGAAATTCAACACAGTCTCAGACAAAAGCATCATATAAAATGAGCCTTCCTCGTGAAATAATGGCAGTATGTGAATATGTGACATTTTGGTCAGATGTTTCAGACAAATTACCTATACAACGGCTTGGGGTGTCCACTGATAGGGTTTCTTCATTCATCTTGGAAGTGAAAAAAGGTTCATCACATATGAAGGACATCACTATGATCTGTTCCATGATTTCACCTGAAGAACAGTTATCTTTCAGAGCAGCAGAAATATAATCTAACCGTAGTCCAAGTGAGAACATCTCTCTTTATTTCAAAGAGTGATTCATAAAAGGCAAAGCATTAAGCCAAAAGTTCCAGAAACTAAACAAGTCTACAAAGTTGACATTAATAAAATGAATCCTGAGAGATATTAACCAGGACAATAAGGCAACTTCTGGAGTCCACTTGCATTTCCCTTGGCTGTGCAATAGCAGTGGAACAAGTGCAGTCTTGATGCTGTGCTGGAGGATATGATGATTGAAATTGTCAACTGACTAATTAGCTATTAGATTAGAAAAAGTTGTTTTGCCAAAATAACACAGGGCTATAGCAAGACATGTTCATATTACACAGCTTTAAAAGTCTAGACTGATTGATTTGAGCAGTCCTCACTTTTCTTTGTGCAAGAATCCTGAGAGCCACCTCTATCTCCTCCCTTCTGCCTGCAACCCCTTGGGCCAAGGGCTAAGAAAAATAATGTGATGTATTCCCAGCATTGCTGATTAAGGATGTGACGCCTTTGCTATTATTACTTCTGATGAAATTGGGGCAAATCAGGACTTCAGAAGCAGATCTGCAAGCTGTACGTAGCACAGGGCCAAAGATCAATGTATCTGAAGCAGAAGGGGGGGTGGGGGGTGTGGAAAGAAAAAAAAAGACATTTTCAGTACTAACAATAAGCTGTGAAGAAACTTAATCCTCAGAGGTCAGATGTACATCTGAAAGGGCCGGACTGCCTTTGTATCAGAATGTAACAACATTAGCCCTAATGACTTAATAGTTTTGCCCTTGACTTGTGTCAACAGGACCCTATCTTATTACATGGTAAATTTGTTGCTTCCATTCTACTCCACGCTGCTGGGTGATGGGGAGATAGAAGCATTTGTGGCAAAATTGGAAACGTAGCCCACTACATAATAGTGCTGCTTAGGAGTACACAGCAGTACTTTAATTTCTGTGGGTGTGTTGGCGTAGAGGAAGGCTGGACACAGAGTGAGGAAGAAGATGCAGCGTTTGGCACTCAGGAGCCATAGTCACAAGGAAGGCATCTCCTCGCTCACTGCTGTGCAGTGCCACCTAAGGTCACCATCTGCTGCAGACTTGGAGGGGTAATGAGCTAGGGTCAGGCATAATGATGGTTGGCTCTAGGTAACAGAAGAGGCTTTCTTATGCTCCTTCTCTTCTCAGGGAAGTTTGCTGCTTTTAGAAACTCATGTCACATCCAGATTCTGAAGCTGCCAGGTGACCAGAGCTGTATCAACATTTGGTTACTGAGAGCCCTTCCTGCACAGAGCAAGGATAACCAGGGCTTTCTAAAAGTGTTGCTCTGACAAGGCAAGCATCTCTTCCATTTAAATCAAGAAAATCCCCGTTTCCTGATTTATCTGTCTTAAAAACTGTCTTCTGAGTGCTAGACAAAGGGTTAGTTTTCACAATACACACAAGAAGGGAGAGACATGCTTGTACGGTTATGTAAGTCCTCTTTAAGGAGTTTTACAGGCAAGTGAGATGCAGCTCCAGACGCTAGACTTTTAAATCATTTAAAGCTGACATAAGCTGATCCTGTGTGCAGTTTATAATCATGTTTTTACTTTTCAGCTCTGACAATTACAGATTGTTTGTACCGGCTCCACAAGCACTCCTATTCAGCAGTATTGTCAAAGTCCATTCATCCCAGTCTCACAGCAGCACAGTGACTCTTTGCTTTGCCAGCCCCTGTCCATAACCTTCATCCAACTGTAACCAGCCTTGAGGGGAGGGCCAGGGGAGCCTGCAAACAATCCTCATCTGCCATCTGTGGTAGCTGCAATTTCCCATGTTTCAATGTGGTTTTCAGCCTGTCTCAGCTTGGCAGGAAGAAGCCTGGCATCCTCTAAGTGTGTTGCACTTGCAACCTTTGAAGATGTTCAAAAGGAAAGGAAGAAAAATAAATGAAAGTTCTTAGCCATTTTGCATGAAGTTGCATGAAAAGTCTTGGGGCCTAACTTGACTGGAACTGTTTTAAGTACTTCTCTGCTGCAGCAGCAGTGCGTCATATGAAAGGCTTTGTTTGGCACCTCTCCACAGTTATAAATAAAAAACATATTTATCTCCAGTCATGCATATAATTTAAAAGTCGGACAGAAGAAACCTTTTTTCTCCTTTTAAATCTGTAGCAAGCCCAAGATAAATTCTTATAATTTATTTCTTTTAAAAGGAGGAAAAGAAAGAAAAAAGAAAAACAATAAAAAAAATAACTCGGTTATTTGGAAATCTGGAAAACAGATTATTTCTTTGGATGGAACAAAGTGTGTGTATGTGTCATCATGACTTTAAACAGTTCCATGGTTTCCCATGGAAATACTTAATTGAAGCTAATAAGATGTGGAGTTATCAGTGGTTTGTCATGATAGATTTCATATGGTCTTTCCAAGACATTTTATCTCCTTTCAGACTCACTGACCTAAGACTTTCTGAACCACCACAGATACTAAATTTAAGCAAAGCCCTACAGAGAAATAGAGTGGATAGGAGCTTGGGCAAAGCCCTCATAACTATAGAACTCGAGCATTCAAACTTCCAATTTGTAGTACATGCGACAGCCTCCCACAGAAACATTCAACTCCAAGACTTGTTTGCCTGTTAGCACTTGCAGCATGGGTCAGAAGTCCTTCCTTTTAGCACCATGCTATTGGGAAATAAACTACTGTCATCAGATTATAGATCCTAACCCAAACCTTCCCTAAACTCCCATGCTTCACGTGCTGATTCTACAAGCCTACCTGCCTGATGCTTCAGGAAACCAGGTCCATCTTCTGCTAAACATGTCAATCACAACGAATACATACTAAGAACTTTTTGACTACTTATTACCAAAAAAAAAAAAAAAAAAAAAAGAATCATGCCCTTCATACATCCTGGTTTAGAAAAGCAAATCCCTGCTCTATCTGAGATGGCTATATAATACCCACAGACAGTAGTACATTTTAAACCATGAGCATGTATCTACTCAGCCTTCGGGATAACCAGTAAAGTTTTGTGTGTCATTTGTCATCTGCAAAATGCAGGAGCTTAATAAACAACTTCATATACCCATTTCCTTAAAAAAAATATGACTTGAGCCAATGAACCTGTGTGACAACACAGTATTAAACTGTTCTGAACTTTACAGAGGAGGAGAAGTTTTTCCTAGACTGATAGCAGCACAGTTTACAACACACTTTAGGTAGAGGCAATTTGAATAACCTTGGCACTCTTTTCATACTTACATTTTAGGTAATTAATGGAAGTGTCTTTCTAAGATTGGCCAAAATTAAACAGCTTATCACTGCTGATTTTCAGTAAGAGAAAATTGTAGATCTTTTTTGGCATGACCACCTTTTGCTTTCTGCAAGTTTCTTTCTGCAGTCTTATTCCCTGCTCCTTCAAATGCATCCACTGCATATGTTTCTTTTTACTGTTAACATCCATTTCAAATACACCATCCTCACTGATAATGTGAAGTACCTGCCTATGGGCTGAAGGGTCAGTCAGCAGCAAGCACAGTGCACTCATTAACCTGTGAGCAACTTTGGAACTTAACTTCTACTGACCAAGACTATATTCAGAATTGAAGAAATTGCATGCAAATATCATGATACATGAAATGCAAGCAATGTAGTAAAAGCCATGGGATATTACAGCAATCAGAATTATTTGAAGTCAACACAGAGTGAACCGTGTGATAAAACAACTAGTTTGCAGCTGCTTGTGGACTGGAACAGCCTGAGGATTTAATATAATCTCCTTTAGATGGAGGACAAGGTACAACAGCTCTATGCTCACTCTCTAGCCAGCAGTGTGTGAAGGATATGAAAGATACTTCCTGAAGGCAATCCCTGTTGTGGGCATCCCTCCCTGGGACACTTCAAACTATCCATAAGGAGTAAGAGCAACTGGGCTCCTAATTCAGGTGTCTTGTGTAGTTAGCAAGAAAGGAACCCAGTCTGAACTGTTTGGCGTACTTCTGCTGCCAGACTGTTTCCTCATAAGACAGTCTGTAACTGTGTGTGTGTTCCTTGAAATGGAGAAGGGCATAAGATTTACAAGGTTAGCAATGTATACTGCTGTAAGCAGCACGCACACTCAGATGCTGTGGGATTCTTTACCAGTTCAAGTTTGCATACATCTCAGCATATGGATGAAGCGAGCAGAGAAGAAGCATGCCTGATTGTAATTACATTAAGCACTTTGGCAATAAGGAAAAGTTTGTGCTTGTACACAGATGGCTTTATGTTACAATGCTATAAATGTGCCAAGTTTCATGGCTTCACCACATGATGCAGCAAAGGAGCCTGATCCAAAGTCTGTGCAAATCTAATGAAAAACTCTCACTGACTTCACTGGATTTGAAGCAGGTTTGTAAGTGCACTGGACACACCTGGCCAAAGTGCATAGACTTATGTAGTATTTTTGGATCAGTTTTAGTCCAATGGGCCTTTTTTAGCCGAAGGATTTATGCTTTTGAGACTCTGTTTTCCTTAAATGAAAAAATGAATGAAGTCCACTTTGGGTTGATTAAAATTAATTTGACTGCCTAATGTAGCTCTCATCTAAGCTGTACACTTAAACATTGCACACTGTACTTTTTGGAAAATATCTGGGGGAAGAAAATACTAAATTCTTATTCTTATGAGGCCTCCAGAGTCCTTCTGGTGTTTTTGATTCAAGCCCTCCTTTCTGTGACCCTCCCACCCCTACTTACTTCATGAAGGTAAGAGATCTTTAAACTTACTCTGAAAGTTCTTAATTTAGAAAAATAAACAAAAATTCTGTCAACTCATTCCCCAGTGTCTTACCATAACTTATTTTAGAGTAATAAATCTTCCCTCTGACAGCTCTCTGATGATGCATTACATTAATACATCATAATGACAATATATGTGATATATTATGGATGTATTTTCTAAAAGGGATATCACCTATACATTCCATCTTCCTAGCACAGCAGAAGAT